AGACTAACTTTAAAAACCTTTCCAAAACGAACCAACTTGAAAAGCTAACCAAACGAAAGTAAAGTTAAAACCAAAATGAGCGAAGTAAAATGAAAATCAACCTACAACTTGGAACCATTAAAGGCCCTTATTAAAAACCAAACCAAATCCAAACTTGATATTAGCTCCACATATAAATATTAGCATAAATAATTAAAGCAGAAACACATTGTAACTAATATAAACTAGCATGATTCGCTCTTCACTCGTGCCCCATCATGAATATGCCTCAATACCTGAAAAGCTTATCTCTACTTGTCTCCACTACTCTCCATTAAAAATGGGTCATCATAGGGCCAAGATAAAGACATGGCCAAATACACAAACACACACAATCAGCAAAGCTGAGTACATAAGCGTAAATTAGCCACACTAACATGCTTTCACCTATCAACACACACTTACCTCATTGCACCTGTTCACAAGCATACACACCAATGACCAAGACACAATGACTAGACACTAATTAATTCATTTTGCATTGATTACGCATCGAACAAGTTTCTAACTATACCTCTCCCAATAAATTGGGGTTAACTGACACGGGAGCTAACCGTGCCAGCAACAAACCTGTGCCACACATAGGTGGCGGAATTCCAGCGCATAATAATAATAAAAAGGAATATACAGCGTCCTGTACTCCGTTAGAAGTTATGTTCAAATATAAAGTCACATAACTCCCCCCATATGTTCATACTCAAGGTATATACGTTCCAAGAGTTTTGGTACGTAATCTCTTTCACTTTACGTTATTACATATTATTAGACTTGGTGATAACCCTCAAAGCATAACAATTCAATCATCAATAATAATTCAATCACTCAAACATACCAATTTAATTCTTGAATATTTAGTGACCACATAATATTTAATGTTAAACCCTTTTTAATTCTACCTTAGTGTCAAAGACACCTTAAACGCATAATGCGCCAAAAATCCTATCCCTCGGTGTTAAAAACACCTTAAGTGCACAAAGGCACCAACATACAATTTATTCCTTGTGTACCCAGACACTTATATAGCTCCTTCCTCATGCTTAAAGCATCGATAAAAATTATTTGAATCATAATAAAATTCCTTTTCAATATTCCAAACATAATTAAACATGTAGTTTAATTAATCATGCCTTCTAACATGCCATAAATAAAAATGTGGTTCAAACACAACATGCCAAAAATACAATTTTCCAATCCATAAACCATCACAAATAATTCATGCTTCACCATTAAATCACAAACACCATAAACTCACAATTCCATACATAAACCTTAGCATGATTCTACTTATAATCAATTACAAACAAACCTAGCATGATTCTACATCACCAAATTATGCTAAGTAAGCGTACGTACCTCAAATAAGCTCTTAAAATAACCGAGTACTCTACAACAATTCTCGAACCAAGTCTCCTACATAAAGGGACAATAATACTATATTAATTACCCTTGTATACACAATTTCCAGCAACTTAAACTCAATTTAAATAACTTATAATAATCTGAAAATTATTTAAAAACCCCTAATTAAACTCCTTTTTAATGGATAATCACACCTTTTTATTAAAAATCACGATTATACTACTTTAAATAAAATTCCAACATTTTAAACTAATCAAAAATCCTTTAAAACTTCATCAAAATACATCTTTATACTTAAATTATCCATAGGAACATTAAATTATCTCTTACCCCTTTTAAACTCAAAGATAAAATTTAAAGTATAAAAAAAACTTCGTTAAAATATCAAAAAACTGCTCGAAAATCGTATTTAGAGGCTGAATTTGGCCACGATAGGGTAGTGCTCACTATCAAAGGTAGTGATTCTTTCTTTAAACGTTGTTTCCACTCGAAAAACACTACTTTTTTTTATCAAAATCGGAGGAGTTTAGAACCTGATCGGGATTAAAACGAGATTAATATTAACGAACGAAAATCTAATTATTAAAACATGAATTTGCGTGTTCATATAAAAATTCCAGCATACTTTTTAAGGCTTAAACCCCTTAAATAAATCTGAAAATTATATTAAAACCACTTAAAATATTCTCTACTTATGGGTAATCAACTCCTTTTAATTAATACACAAAAGTAGTATGTAAATAAAAATTCCAGCATTATTCTATTAACAAAAACCCATTAAAATTTCATTAAAACTTCATAAAGATACAATCTTTAAGCTTTATTACCACTTACAATCAATGGGTATATAAAACCCCCAAATCAACTGTAAGTTAGAACCCTAAAAATCAACACTTTAATAATTAAAACCCTAACTTTTAATACTTCATAAAATCTGAAAATTAAACACTTTATAATCTAAAATTTACAACCTTTAATCATCAAAACACAATTGTAGAACATACTAATCATGTTTAAATAATTTAAATCAAAACCCCAAAGTATATATTATAGGAATAATTATTAAAACAAAATAAAAGAGGAGAGAGAAGGGAAGAACCACCGTGGGTGGTGGCCGGCCAGCCGGTGGCGGCGTGGCAGGTGGTGGCAGCCGGCGGTGGGCAGTGGCAGCCGGTGTTGAAATTTGGGTGGGTTTATGTCACCCAAAACCCACGTAAATGCAAGAATAAAAAGAAAGAATAAGAAAAGGAAAAAGGAAAAGAAGAAAGAAACAATAAAAATAAAAAGAAAATAGCTCACCTTGACCATTTGACCTTTTTGGGTGGTAAAATTTTGGGGATAAGTAGAGTATTTATAGTGTAGAGTAGGTTAGGGTAGGTTTGGGCTTCATAAAAATAATGGACTTAAATGTGATGAAGTAGGTGGCCCAAAAGTAAAAAATAAGATGATTGGGTTCAATAAAGATGGGCTACGTTTGGATTGAATATTTATTGTCCCAAATATAAATACTTGCTTTATTTATAATTCAATAATTAAAATAGTTTGACCCAAAATATATTTTATAATTAAATAAATAATTTATAAAATACATTAAAAATACGGGGTATTACACACCTGATTAAAAAAAGCCCTAAAACCGTTTTAAAAAAAAAAATCCTAAAACCAAAAAAACACGAAAATTGCAATACACCCACCCATACCCAATACACCCACCCACACCCAATAAATGTAACGTCATTTCCAAACTCAAAAATCTTCTTCTTCTATATGATTTTCTCTCTCCTCTTTTTCACATTCTCTCTCCTCTATTTCATTCTTTCACTAAAAAACTGCAAAAACTTCAATGGACATTAGGAAAGAGATGCAAAATAAAAAAAAGATCCTTCCCAAAAAGGCTATTTTATGTAAATTTCACTTAATTTTGTTTGAATTTATATGATTATCACTTAATTTTGTTTGAATATTGTTCGAAATTTATTATTGGAATTGTCAAAAAAATTAGTGAAATCAAACGGATATTTTATGTTCACATTTCGAAATGCATATGTTTATATTTTGAATTCTTATGTTCATATTTTGAATCCGTTTGTAAACTTTTTGAAATGCTTATATTCACTTTCTAAATTCATATGTTCATATTTTTTTATGTATATGTTCACCTTCTGAAATGGTTATGTTCATAAACATTCAAAAATGAACCAATGCATATGTTCATATTTTGAATTTATATGTTCATATTTTTAATACTTATGAATTAAGATGCATATGTTTCATAATCATATTATTTTTATTTCTTTAAATTTTGTATGTTCATAATAAAATGCCTTATATTCATAATAATATTTTATATGTTCATAATGTAAATATTCATAGTAAATATTTGTTGTTCAAGTGAGATCCTCAAATTTCCCCCTACTTGCAAGGGAATTCTCCTTACAAAATAATGTAAAGGGACAATGACACAACGCAATACTTCACGTATCAGCGAACACGCATTCTTTTGACACGAAATAATTTGCCTATGTGAACAAAAGGTCACACCCCTTAGTAATCAAAGGGGGGAAGACACACAAGGGGTAAGAAGTTTTACTTCCTCAACTCTCTTTTCTTGGCTTCTTGCCCCTCAGTTTTGTCAACTTGTTAACAGTACAAAGTGCCAGCTATAATAGAGATTCAATCAGCCCATATTCTCTAATCTACTGCTTTATATAGAAATATAACATAGCCTTGGATTTTCTGAAATATACTTGTATATATAATTATATAGTCACTCCAAAAAATTCTGGCCCAAACCCTAGCAAAGTAGGCATTAGATTGTTCAAGGTAAACTGTTCAAAAATCAGTCTGATCATGATAAATCATCAGTATAATTTAAAAAATGAAGGGTCAAAATCAAAATAATTTTTGGATAGAAAGAAAATGTGGGTCAAGATATTAATATACTTAGTGAATCGTCACTATTCTAAATAAATTATTACACTTGTGAAATTGTACCATTTATAGATGTGATTTTAGTCATTTTACATACAAATTTGTGCTTTACTGTTATGCCAACATGTAATCTCAACCGGACCCTTTTATATTTTGCTCTTGGACTTATTTGTTGCATGATTTGCAATCTTGCATACACATAACATATTAACATAACACAAAGTTTGTATATACTACGTAAAAAGGATAACAGGTTTACTTTAGCTAGTTTAGTTGTTAAACTCGGAGTTGATACTTGAAATTTACTACCTTGTTACTTTCCGGAAGAGCTGATAGCTAACCTGCATTCCTGTCCTCATTGAGCTACTAGCTCCTTCAGTGATGATGGTGGATATCGGGATCAATCTTTCTTCCTTGGTACCTCTTCACTCCTTCGAGATGTTTTGTAGGGGCAACAACTAGTGTAGTTTCTGAATTTCAAGACATAAGCCGGACTCTTTTCCTACAATGAGCTAAGACATAATTTTCTGCTTGGTTTCAGGCCTTATGCCCCCTAGGAACCAAAAAAAGTAGAGTATAAGCAGGTATTGGATCTCATATTGAAAGCATGATGAGAGTAACAGTCAGATACATATCATCAAACTGAAGTACTTTTCAACTCTTTTGTCAAATCTCTTTCTTTGATTTTCTTTCTAGTACATGCAGATTACAAAATCTGTTCAAGCTCAAGTAGCTGAGATCACATATGAATAATGGACAATCCAACAATCAACGCTGCCACTTAATGTGATTATATACAAGAAAAATGGTAAGAGTATGACTATAATGTCAAGCAAATTGGTAATATACAAAAGCTTACAATCTACAATAACTGCAAAGACCATACAAACAATCAAGCAAAATAGATACTTCTACAACAACTGCAACATTTTCACTTCCGCGTGATTCTGAAGTCTCTACTTCATCTGAGTCTGTTATTGAGCAGGTCAAACTGGCCCGGCCTGGTTTTCTGGTTTTAGGCTGAATTTTGCATCCCAGTTGCTGAGCCAACTTTCAGGCAGACTTCTTCATCCCAAAATGCATTTTAAAGTAATTTTGCTCAATTTAACCAAGCTTGGGCAGTAATTCAAGACCCAAAAAATTTGCTAGAACCCCAGGTCTGAAGTGGAGAAAATTGTGGTAGCAGCCAGAAATAAGCAGCTCTATGTTGGATACTCCGTATATGATAGCAAGTTACTGTCAATTTGCAACCAAATAATATGAACTCTGCAGAATCTTGTTTGCTAAGTGTTTGGCCATCTTACATTTAGAGGCTTTCTGCTATGTTTCAAATCTGCAAGTTCATTCTCGCTACCAATAATCTCCACATGAACAGATGCCATCTTTGAAATGGTGAAACCGGCTATTATCTCTAACGATTACTTCTCTTTTAACAATCTTAGATATGAATTTTATTGCTGTATGGCAGTCACTACACACTCGTATATTCTTGGTTATGCAAATTGTTGCTCCCTCCGGAGTACTTATGATGCCATATGCTATTGCTAATCTCTCACTGTGATTATAAAGTAGACTCTTCTTTTGCTCCTCATCAATATCATGGAGCACTTCGCCTGTATCAGGAACATATCCTTCTCCCTCCATCTTCTCTAGTAACTTTGCTAGAGCCTCCTTTATCTTTTCATAACATGGATGAGATTTATCTCCTGCCACGAAAGCATGTAATTTGTTCTTCACTTCGATCCAGCTGCAAGCTGCTGCTTTCAACAGCCCTTTATTCCTCATAGTTATTCTCACATTCGCAGCATCTTTCCATCTCTTAGCAGCAGAATACGTGTTTGATAAGAGGACATGAGCCCCTATGTTACTAGGATCAACTCTGAATATTTCTCTCGCAACTTTTTCAGCCATATCGACATTTTTATGCATTCGACAAGCAGACAGCAATGTGGACCAAATACTACTGCTTGGAGAAGACATCTTACAAATAAAATCATAAGCTTCTTTTAACCTTCCAGCTCGACCAAGAAAGTCTGCTACAGCAGCATAGTGCTCCAACTGTGGGGATAGTCCATAATCATGAATCATGCTGTTAAAGTAATTCCAGGCTTCATCTACTAATCCAGCATGACTACAGGCTGTTAAAAGAGCTACAAAAGCAACAGAGTTGGGTTTCATTCCATCGACTTCCATTTGCTTGAATAAGGAAATGGCATTGTGAGCATGCCCATGTAAAGCATATCCCATGATCATGGCTGTCCATGACACGGTGTCATGAAGCTTCATCTTATCGAATATACACCTAGCAAGCTTGATGTACCCGCATTTTGCATACATGTCAATTAACGAACTAGAAATAAGCACATTTTCCTCGAATCCACACCTCATAATGTAACCATGCAACTGCTTACCCAAGCGTAAAGTTGTTAGATGAGCACAAGCAGGAATGATGCTCGAAAATGAAACACTCCCAGGCTTAACTTTCGCCATTACCATTTTCCTAAACAATTTTAGACCCTCGTCAAATCGTCCATTTTGAACACATCCAGCAATAATAGAGTTCCAAGTAATGCTATCACGAGAAGGTAAAAGAATAAACACCCTGTATGCATTCTCTATATGATTGCACTTAGCATACATGTCAATCAATCCACTTCCAACGTGCAAGTCGACATCAATTCCATATCTAATAGCATAACCATGAATCTCCTTCCCTCTAACAACATCCACAAGTTCTGCAAACATTGGAAGAGCACTTGACAAACTAAAAGTATCCGGCTTAAGGTTCGCCTTTCCCATGTCCCTTAACATAGCTAAAGCATCTTCAAACATCCCATCTTGTGCATTTCCTGCAATAACTGTATTCCAAGAAACAAGATCCCTAACTGGCATGACATCAAATACTTTCTGCAAGCCACTCTTTCGAAAACCCGGTCCCCTGCCTTTACCATTACTACCCATTACATCCAAGTCGAACTTTGGATGAAAATCCACAACCATTTTATCAAACCCATCAACCATATTATCCTCAACTTTAGTGCTAGACAAATCATCACAACTTCTATAATTCAATTTTCTTTGAGGCATTTCATCGAACATATGGCGGGCTTTACCGTTGTCCTCAAATTTCCCACTCGAAGTCTCCAATTTTGAATACATATTCATTAATGCATTACCAGTGTAAATATCGATATCAAGACCAACACGTATAATACAAGCATGAACAGATTCAGCAAGCTTCAAACTTTTCAAAAAAGTGCATGATTTTACAACAGAAGGAAAAACATTATGATCTGGGTGTAACCCAGAAACTCTCATATGATTAAAACAATTCAAAGATTCAATGAAAAACCCAAGGGAAGTGTAACATCTAATGATAGATTTCCAAGCAAGAAGAGGGGGAGATTGAAGGGTATGAAAGAGATTGATGGATTCAGGTAAAAAATTGAGGTTAGAGTAGATAGAAAGAAGAGTGGAAAGATAATATGAGTTGAATCCTTTGAGTTTGATGATCTGGGCATGAAGTTGTTTGATTTGGGATTTTGAAGAAATGGAGGATGGGTTTTTGAGAAGGGTTTTCAGGAGTTTGGAGGATGTCATTTGAGAGTTGTAAATTGAAATGTTGTTCATAATGTATGCAATATTGTGCATTCTTCCCTTATTGGTGCGACTACTCGTACAGTCGTATTATACTTGTACAGTCATATTATACTCGTATTATATTATAACGCTCTATATGACGCGTGGACATACAAAGTACGAGTAGATCATACATTCATACTCATGAACCATTTTGTAAAATAAACCTTAGGCATTAGCGTCCTTACACTATGAAGCTCACAGTCACAAGTTACAACCATGAATTGTACTCATACTAGAATGGAAGTTTTGCCTTTCTGAGGCTTGAATTTAGTTAAACTAAGTGTTTGCCTTTCCGAGGCTTGAATTTAGTCGAAATGATAACTTCAACTTCATATGAACTCTATGAAGCACGGTACATCAAAAACCAAAAATCAACTTTCACAACACAATCCTTTGTGGTCCAAGCAGAATTTAAAAAAAAAAAAAAACACTCCCACATCCAAATTAAAAAGCGCAAATGGACATCTGCAAATCTGCAATATTCAGTAAGGGAAGGGGTATTTCACACTGAAGAACTTCTTTGCTTCAAAGTCATTTTTCACTAATCTAAACAATCATTATTGTTTATAGAGACAGACGAATAAACATACACATCCACCAAGTTGCTATTGCATCATAATTTTTTAAACACGGGATTTAGATGTGAGAAGGAATTCCTTTTAACAATTCTATCCACCAAAACTCCCAATGGAAACACACACAATGCTCGTTGAACCAAACATCAGAACTTATGGTAGAAAAGTATAGCATCATCTCTCAATCATCTTCTCTTTCAGGAGGAAGGCCACAAGGTAGCAGCATTTTCTGCAAGACATATAACAGTTCCATAAGTGAGAATGGCAAGAATGAGTAATTGAGTACTATAGAAGTAACTCGCAAAGAGACCAGTTCATATAAGTTGTACCGCAGGCAAAAACTTGGCATGTTAAAATATAAAGCCACTAACAAATCCAAATCAAACTCAATAGCTCAGTGACCAAGTGTTCAGTTGTGTTTGTAAACTAAAATACGCACACCACCGTCATCCATTTATCCCTCCAAATGCAACATTACATGTAAATATATAGATTCAGTTTGATGATATTCCTGTTCTGTGTTTAAATTACAAATTACAAGTCTAACTTGCATTAAACATCGATTTCCTCTTAAGACCAATCCAGCACTAACAAAATTTACATGGACAATAACAAGACAACAACATGAAGGATAGCATGAACAAACCTGCATGAAGTTGTAACGTTCTCTTCCAATAGACTCATTTTCTGCAACAGCAAAATATGCAAGCATTGGGTAATGCCCAACATAGGAAGCATAGCTATCACGTTGGATGTTAACAGCCCATTCACTGTTCAGTTAAATAAGAACAAAAATTAGAACCAATTAACCAATAAATCAATATGTTATAAAGCCATCCAAAGTTTATATAGAAGAAAATTTACAATCTGTTCAAATCTGCATGCCCAGTCCCAACATATTTAGCTTGAAGGTGCTCGAGCTGGGAATTGATGTTAAATCTATCACTGGCCTACATACACAGCAAAAAAGAAATCAGCAGGTTGAACCAAAGAAAGCAGAAAAAACAGAATTACATAGACCAAAAATTCATCAATACAATTAAGTCTATATTACACCTATATTAGCTATGAAGCCGAGGGCTTGCACTCATTGAAAAAGAAAAGGAAGGAATCCAAAATATAATTAAACTAAATGATACAAGTAACAATGCTAATGGAACAGCAGTCAGTAGCATGAGCGCATTCTGCAAATCTGGTCAATATATCAGCGGCCAAGTCAACTGGATCACTCAAACCTGATAAATTAGGTGAAAAATTAAGATAGCCCCAACTCAAATACACCTTCCGTCTCCAAAAGATTGCTCCTAAAACAATATTATCAGGTTCAAAGGGTATTTTCAGTAGTATTCCATTGCCTTATGACCATTCTTCCTTGCTATTTGAAGATGCTTACTATTGTGAGTATGAAAGGAAGGGGAACTTTGATTGTGAATCTATTGTTAGGGGAGGTAGTTTTACATCTTACAAGGGAGGGAACGGGCCATTATAATAAAACTATTATGGGGAGGATTTTGATTGAGCTAGAACTAGCATTTCCAAAACACTCTCACAGTGCTTGTTTGATTTTCTAGTATTTACAAAAATCGAAATATATGGACCATTTTGCTCATGGTAAGCAATAGAATCCCTACGCTTTGCGACTTTAACGCAGATTTGGATATTACTTTTAAGGGAACTATAGATGACATTATTGCATCTATCGGCCATGATAGTTGTCTTCTCTGTCTCTTAAAGGTGGTCAAGGGAATGAAGGGCAAAAATTTAAATGCTATTAATGGCCTAATTAGTAAGGTGATGGGCAAGTATGAGGTGATAGAATTCCGCATCGCTGCTTATGGATTCTCCTTTGTCACCGCTATCCCCTGATAAGGATGAACCCCATTTCAGAGGACGTTCTCTTTCTTACTTGAATTGCCTATAATAGGCAATCCGGTGGATCCCGGAAAATAGTTGGGATTCGTTTGCCTTTGATCGAGTTTTCGGGAATGAATTGTTAGATACTCTCAACATCAAAGCAAGGCAAATCTTCATTCCCATAACTTACCCCAACTTCAATTCCGCAAACTCCCATTCCCACATACCAGACACCCCTAGGTGAAATTAGTTGGCATGGCTCAGGCTCGGCAAGCAAGCATGTCAGTGGATAGCACCATAGACTTAAATGGCTTGCAATTTTGAGATAGCACCTAATTTTAGCATTAAACAGAAGGGTGTTCATTCTTTTCGATTATGAACCGTAAGGTCAATATGTAAGAGCCTGGAGTTGATTAATATGATTAGGGTTCTTAATACAGTACTTGAGACATCAAAATAGATGCTCTAACTATATGAAATCATAGAATTTAAGCTTAAATTAATTGTAATTAACAAGAAACAAGAAGTTGCATAGAATTAGTTCTTTAAAATCCCAAATTCTGCCACCCAATTTCGACTTTGTTTGATTGAACAGAGTAAACCCTAAAAACCCTACAACAAAATTAAAATTTGGGGAAGATCGAGTACAATTCTTAATTAAATAACAGAGATATATTATATATATTAACAAAAGTGGAGAAAGATTAATGTTATTGGCAATTTAGGGTTAGTATTTGCAAGCAATAAAGAGGAGTAAACTTAAAAAGAAAGGTACCTGCATATTCACCAATTTGTTGTTGAGAATTTGGAAGATGACCAAACTACTAAAATTGATCTTTGTACTTATTTATACGCGAATGCGATGGTTGTCGACCGAAGAAACCGACATTTGTATGCGCTATTTCACTATTTCATGGTTTTCACTATTTAATAAACCGATTTACTTCACCTTATTTTCGCCGGATTAAAATTATTTTTGTTGATACTCTGTTATATTTATTCTTTAAACTTACTAAATTTTACCAAATTGAACTTATTTTTACTGAACTGAAATTAATTTTAATGAACCAAACTTATTTTTACTAAACTGAAATTAATTTTAGTGAACCAAACTTATTTTTACTAAACTGAAATTATATTTACTGAACTAAAATTATTTTTACTTAATAGTATTATTTTTTAAGGTGAACTAAATAGGGCCTAAATCGTAATTATAAGGTGAAAATTCCAGGTTTTTTTATTTAGTAATTTTGAGGGTGAGCTTAGAAATATTTTGAAATATCATGGTATATAGGAACATTTTTCCAATATCATGTTCATTGTATTATACCTGTTATTTTTCCAATGCTTAGAAAGTGTTGACTCACTTGATAAGTTTCTTACCTCATATCCTAAAGGTTTGGAGTTCAAATCCTACCAAGTGAGGGTGCTTGGGGTAGGGATTCACTTACCCTCCTCTTTACTTTCAAGTTCCTGACCCGCAAACACTGATCCAAAAAAATCGTGACAGTTGAGATCTAGTTAGGGTCTTCTTTACCTTAAAAAAAATGTTCATTGTATCATGCAGGATTTGTATACTACATAAAATAGTAGTACTATATATGGATAATGAACGCCTGAAGGTCCATGAATCTTTTTGAACCCCATGGCTCTAGCTCCATTAGCTTTCTGCTAAAAGGTTCCAATGAGTCAATTAAAGCTCATCTTAACTTAGAGATTTTGCAAAAATTGCATAAGGTAAAACTTTCATATGTAAAAATTGTAACAACATGATGACTGATGAGTACGTTAATTGCGACTTACACTATAAGTTGGTGCTAGTATAAATAGCAGGCAAATGTGGTGTTGTTCAATGCACTACATATATTCATAGTAATTGGTAAGCTTTAAACTTTTTTTACTATGCCTAATAAATAACAAGCCAACTTCTTATGATATACTTTCTCCGTTTCTTTATAGTTACAACACTTTCCTAAAATGGAAATATCACAATAGTTACAACACACTACAAAAGGAAGATTTTTATGGTGAAAATTATACTATTATCTTTATTTAAAGCTCATGACCTAATTGATTATACTCCTAATAACCTTTTAACCCCATTTTAAGTGTATTATATCATGTGAGATCCACTTTTCTTAAATACCGTGGTAAAGTGTGTGTTGTAACTATAAAGAAACGGATGAAGTACTTTTCACTTTTCAGCTAGCTAGCCAAGATGAATTATCTTGAACTACAGTACTTGCTCTGTTAATAAGACCTTGCTAATAGACTTTCTGAATTACACAAAAACACACTTGCTACAAAATGGACCTGGCAAATTATCACCCAAACCAATTGTGTTCATAACATTTGTGCAATGTGCATAAATAATAAACCAAGTTCAAGCACAAGGAGGGAAACAAGCTTTACAAACGTAGACTTTTGCACGATGACATAATGTTAATGTGGTCAATCAATTTAAAAAATAATTACAATTTGTTCTTTTTAGAGGAGATGGCTCCTATGCTGTAACTATCATTTTTCGAGAACACAGCAAAAACAATCGACTGAATATAAACATATACACTTTGGGCTATTAATTTACAAGAGATTGACATCAAATTCAAGGTCCAAATAATCACTCTATATTCGGGCCTTTGCCCTGAACCCTTCCCAAAGCGTCTCTTTCCTATGCATCCACAGAGCCAATGTGCAGCAGTAAATGAACCAAAACTGTCCGCTTCAAAATCAACACTAAGAAAACCTATTTGATCATATCTGGAATCAAGAGAAGTTAGCAAGATTTACAAGGAGTCGCCCTGTTTCTCAGGAACTTCAGGGTGAGGCGGC